TGCCACCGCTGCCTGCAGCCTGGGAGCCCCAGAAGTTCTTCCAGACCCAAAGCTGGCTTCCCTGTTGGTTTTGGAGTTGGTTCTGACATCTTTTTCCCAAATCTTTGTGGAGTTTGTAGTAGAGTGCCTCATTTGCCACCTCAACTTTGAAGAGGTCTTCCAGGTCATCTTGACCAGGAGAAGTGAAGATGACTCATGTCTGTAAATCATAGAAACACGGAATGGTTTGGGTTAGAAAGGACCTTAAAGACCATTCAGTTCTACCCCACTGCCCTGGGCAGGGACACCTCTCACCACCAGGTTGTTCCAAGCCCCCTCCAACCTGCCCTTGAACCCCTTCAGGGATGGGGCAACCACAGCTTCTGTGGGCAACCACCTGTATGTCCAAATACAGGGGCATGAAGATCATAGAATCATAGAATCATAGAATCATTGAGGTTGGAAGAGACCCTTGGGATCATCGAGTCCAACCATCTACCCTACTCTACAAAGTCCTCCCCTACACCATATCCCTCATCACAGATGATCTTTAAAATGTGGACAAGTGCCATGTGAGTGAAGGAACCACCAGATGTGCTTCCCTGGGTCATCTGCTACACGTGCAGTTTCTTCCCCACCTTTCCATTCCGTGTTGTTCTAAAAGACTAAATTCTGATGAGGGTGGTGAGACCCTGGCCCAGGTTGCCCAGAAAGGTGGGAGATGCCCCATCCCTGGAAACATTCCAGGTTGGATGGGACTCTGAGCAACCTGGTCTAGTTGAAGATCACAGAATCACAGAATCATCTAGGTTGGAAGACACCCTCGGGATCATTGAGTCCAACCATCTACCCTACTCTAAAGTTCTCCCCTACACCATATCCCCCAACACCACATCTTCCTGCCCGTGGCAGGGGGGTTGGACTAGGTGGCCTTTAAAGTTCCCTTCCCACCCAAACCATTCCACGATTCGATGAAAACATCTTGATGAAGTCATTCTAATTAAACAGAATTCCTTTTCTTTCTTCATTATGGCCACGTCTCTGCTCTGTGGCCATAGAGTTCAAGATGGACGAGGCAGCTTCTGTCACGGGGGATGTCCAACCATCTACCCTACTCTAAAGTTCTCCCCTACACCATATCCCCCAACACCACATCTTCCTGCCCATGGCATGGGGGTTGGACTAGGTGGCCTTTAAAGTTCCCTTCCCACCCAAACCACTCCATGATTCGATGAAAACATCTTGCTGAAGTCATTCTAATTAAATAGAATTCCTTTTCTTTCTTCGTTATGGCCACGTCTCTACTCTGTGGCCATAGAGTTCAAGATGGATGAGGCAGCTTCTGTCACAGGGGGGTTGGCTGCCCCATGAAGAGTTGCCCCTAAATTTTAAGTGTCCAAGGACACAACTATTAGCTCCACGTGTAGCAGATGCCATCTGTGGCTGAGAAACACTCAAATCTTAAAAAGCTCCTTTATCTCGTTGCCTTCGGTTGTGACGGTTGATGGACCTCACGGGGAGCTACGTTGGGATTTGGAGTCAAGTCTGACCCAGGCGTCTAAAACTGGGCCAAGGGAGGTCTGAGCAGGGCTGCAATTAAATCTGCTGTGCTTTTTTAGCTAAATTCTTTGGGAAATGGAAGGGAATTTCACTTTCCCGGCACTGCTAACCTATTTACTCCGGTGCTAAAAATAGCCCGCAATGTAGGACACTCTTAGGGAGAAACCAGAAGGAAACAGAGTGGAAGGGAGAGCTTTGTTTGTGGAAAGTGCTGGGATTCTGGCAAGGAGTTAAAACACACTTTTTGGCTCCTTCTGTGGTTGTTTCTGTGGGGTATTTTGACATTTAAAAAGAAAAAAAAAGAGTATTTTTGGAAAAGATTTTAAGTATTTGTGGAGCACCCAAGCAAAGGGATCCAAGGAAAAGAAACAGAAATGACAAAAAAAGGGATCCAAACCCCAAATCCTTCCTCTTTGTTGCATTTCCCTGGTAGCACCAAAGGAAAAAGTCATTTTTTAGGTGTCTTTGGGTTCTCTCTGCACCCAGAATTGCTGTGGGACCTCGGGGACACCGGATACAACTCTGGTGTTGGGGAGGAGCAGACCGAGGAGGACCGGTCCTCCACCGTAGCATCATCAGGGGAATAGAGCTAATTGTCTTTAATTGTGGTTTGTTTTTTTTTCCCTTTTTCTTTAGCCTGAAAAGGACAACAGACATGATGTTTGGAGGAAAGCAAGTAGTGGTTTGTGGCTACGGGGAGGTAAGGGCTTCAGATTTCTTACGCCGCACGTAAAAATCAGCGCGTCCTTCGCATGGCTTCGTCCCCACGGGGCTTTCCTGGCCTCGGGGCTTCTCTCTGCATCTGCAGGTGTCCTCAAACCCAGCAGGTCGGCCAAAAAAATGAAGATTTTCTCGATTTCCAGTATATTTCTTCAGTATTCAATGGATACCAAACCTGAATCTTAAAAACATTAAGTCTGAGTATTAAGTATTCCGGCTACCTTTAATATCTGAATGTCGGAATATCCAGATATTAGTATAGAATATATTATCATTATATTTTATGTTTTCATCATCTATTGTATTTGATGGACTGTTGAAGCCTCGGGAGGCTGGGCTCTGCAGATGCAGCCGCAGCGTTGCGTGCCGAAGCCAGGTCAGGAAAGAGAAGTTCACCTTGACTTCCCCCCCTGAGCTTCCACCCCCAAACGGAGGAGTCCTCTCTCCTTCTCCCTTCAGCACGTCTTGCTGGGACCAGTGATCACCAGTTAGGGTGGGCTGTGCTGTGGGTGCTGTACTGGGACAGACTCTTTTTTGGTTTTTTTGCTCCAAAGAGCTGAAATGGGACAACTTTTTCCCATGTCATCACTTTTTTTGGGAACCTTTGATCATTTAACCATTCCCCTGCGAGCTGCACCGTAGCTTAAAGCTCGTTAACCCTCGGAGAGTAAACCATTAAGCTTCCTAAATAGAGTAAAGGTTACAAAAGACTCTTAAACTTTCCCTGGGATGAGTGTAATCATCCAGCCTGGCCTTGATAAGCATTATCATGGTGCCTTCTAGATACCAGGATGTTTGGGTGGGGAAGAAGAACTCCCTGGGACCGAAACCAGCAGCACTTTCATATTTTTTAGTCCCTGTCTCAGCTAAGCTGGGCCCGACTCAGATCCTGGATTACTCCAAATCCAGGTGTTTTGTGCAGCCAAAAAATGGAAATATGGAACCAAGAGTTACTCTGGGGGCTGCAGAAGAGGTTGTACATCCCCCAGGAGCTCCCCGTGGCCGAAGGGCTGCTCGGCATCTCCCGAGCTCTTGGTGTCTCACTCCTCCTCTGTCCTCTTCTCCCTCCCCAGGTTGGAAAGGGCTGCTGTGCTGCCTTGAAGGCCATGGGCTCCATAGTGTACGTGACAGAGATCGATCCGATCTGTGCCCTCCAGGCCTGGTAAGCAGTCCCCACCCAGCCCGGCTTCTTCCTTAGGTTTTTGTTGTTTTTTTTTTTGGTTTTGGTTTTTAACCCAAGGAAAACCACGGCCAGAGGCTGCTGAGCAGCGGTCCTCCCCCACAAGAAGAGATGCTGGGGAGGAGTTGGTGGCTTCTCTCCCCCCCTGGAGGGACCCACAGCTCTCTCCTGCGGCCAGGAAAGGGTCCCTGCACTAGAGCATCACCAGGTTTATCTGGCTCCCAGGTGCATCGTAGCCAGAGCAGCCACGAGTTTAACCCTACAGTTTGAAGGAGTTTTATGATGTGGCTTGAAAGGGTTTAACGATAAGTTTTGAGAGTCAAATTATCAAAAGGCTGCTGGGAGTGAACTGCAACCTCTGGAGAGCAACCTCGGGCTTCCCTCTGCTGCACAGACCCCTCACCAAGGAGTATTTTGGTGTTTTTGTGACCACCCACCCCTCACAAACCTCTCCTCGCTCGCCCCGGTGCCCCGACACAGGGCTGAAAGCTCACAGCTCCCCCCCAACCCCCAGCACGGGCACGTTGCAGTTACACCCCACCTCGTTTCCTCCAGGTGAAGGTTGTTTTGGTGCCAAGATGCTCCTCCATCCCAAGGGACACGGGTGGGAAAGCAGAGTCCCCCCCCAGAAAGGATCCGGAGCCTTAAACCCGCAGCCTCTTCCTCACAGCGAGCTTTCGAAGGGAGGAAACTAATGAGCCCCGCTTAATTAGCAGAGCTGAGCCTCTTTGGGTTTGCTTTGCAACCTTGACAAGCGGCGCATCCAGCCAGCACATCCTTTTAATTGTGAATTGGGTCGTTTGCAGCAACACCCGGCTCCTCCTGAGGAGATTGCAGTAGATGGGGAAAAAAAAATAGAAATAAATCAGTAAATGGGACATACAGCAGGAAAAAAAAAAAAAAAAAAGACTTTTTTTTTTTATAATAACTACGGTTTTGCAGCTTTGAAAGTAAGTTCTTGGCAGGACTGTCAACAAAGCCTAAAAAACCCCAAAAACCTGCCCAAAAAGCCTGCCCTCGTTGTCCAAAGCGCTGAGCACACCTTGCTTGGTGGGGTCAGGGAACCTGCCGAGCGCTCAGCGCTCCCAGAGATGGAGTAGGGGCCTTAAAAATGGATCGTGGAGTTAATGAGAAGAAATCTGAAGGCTGGGGGTGTTTTGGGTTTGGTTATTTTTTTTTAAGATGATCTAAATCCATCGCAGAGAGGATCCTGCGGCAGGAGGGCAGATCTGCCTCTTCTGGGTGTGCTTTTGCAGGGAGTAGCAGCTTCAAAAAAAGCCAACTTGATGGAAAATTGAGATTTGCAGATGTGGAGGCCTTGACAGAAAATGTGAAACCTCCCCCTCCCCCAAAATCTCTTTTTTCAGTCCCAAATCCTCCAGGTTGACTCTCCTAATGGCTTGGGGTACCTGGCCCTTGGTGTGGTGCTGTTTTCCAGTCTCTGGAGTTAGAAAGATCAAACGAGTATCTGAGAGTGGTTTGATGGGGGTATTTTTTCCGCTGTTTTTGGCCTATTTGTGCTGTTTCTCAGATTATTTTCCCCCCTTTCCTCTCCTCTCAGCATGGATGGATTCCGGCTCGTGAAACTCAATGAAGTCATCAGACAAGTTGACATTGTCATCACCTGCACAGGTACATGGTCCCCAACGGGTGGTCAGGGGTGCGACCCCCTTCCTTGGGTCGGTCATTTTCCGAAGGAAAGGGCAAAAAAGATGGGAAAAGTGAACATGGTGAGATCCTGGCCCAGGTTGGCCCAGAGAAGCTGTGGCTGCCCCATCCTTGGAGGGGTTCAAGGCCAGGTTGGATGGGGCTTGGAGCAACCTGATCTGGTGGGAGGTGTCCCTGCCCAGGGCAGGGGGTTGGAAGTAGATGATTTTTAAGGTCCCTTCCAACCCAATCCATGCTGTGACTCCATGGTTCTGTGGTTTAAGGATATTTCTATCTGGCAGGCAACAAGAACGTGGTGACCAGGGAACACCTGGACCGCATGAAGAACAGCTGCATCGTCTGCAACATGGGGCACTCCAACACCGAGATCGACGTGGTGAGCACGGGGACCTGCGTCGGGTGTGGGGACAACACGGGGTGGGTGATGGTGCTTTCTGGACCTTTCTGCAGCTGTGTCTGACCCAACCTGCTTTAGCCAGCACTTGACAGGGGGGAGATACAATAATCCATCCTTCCCCATGTCTCAGTAGACACCATCAGACATGTTGTCATTCCTGCGATCCCAAAGGATGTCGGTGATCCAGACAAACTCCTTCAGCTTCAGACGTGGTGTCTGGTATCCACCAACCTCAGTCCTTCTCCTTGAAAGGAGAGGGCTGGAGCCCCTTTGCTGGGAGGGGGGGCTGAGAGAGTTGGGGGGGTTCAGCCTGGAGAAGAGAAGGCTCTGGGGAGACCTTGGAGCCCCTTCCAGTCCCTCAAGGAGCTCCAGGAAAGCTGATGGGGCACTCTTGATGAAGGAGGGGAGCCACAGGAAGAGGGGGAAGGGTTTGACCCTGAGAGAGGGGAGATTGAGATGAGATCTCAGGAAGAACTTGTTTGGTGTGAGGCTGGTGAGAGCCTGGCCCAGGTTGGCCAGAGAAGCTGTGGCTGCCCCATCCCTGGAGGGGTTCAAGGGCAGGTTGGAGGGGGCTTGGAGCAACGTGGTCTGGTGGGAGGTGTCCCTGCCCAGGGCAGGGGGTTGGGACTGGATGATCTTTAAGGTTCCTTCCAACCCAAACCATTCTATGATTCCTTCCAGCATCGTGTCTGGTACCCACCAGCCTCGGTCCTTGCCCTGGAGGGTCAGTGAATTGTCCCCTCCAGCCCAGTCCCTTTGCTTTCGTGTTTTTATACCGTGAAGACCCAGCCTAAAGTTGCATCACAGCACGCTCATCCCCCCAGCACCACCAAAATCTGCCCTTCTGACCTTAGAGATGGGTAGAAAAACAGGAGGGTCTTGTCTGAAGGTCGGTGGAGAATCATTCGTCCAAAGCCGTGGGTTTAAAGCCATTTTCTGTGGTGGAAAGAAGTGACAGCAGCCGCGTGGAGTTCAGTTGGTGACCATGAATCCTCTTCAGCCAGAAGAGCTTGAACAATAGTTGTTGCTGGAGCTTTGATGTATTGTGATCATAAAAATAGTCCCAGGTTATGATTCATAAAGGTTTCATTGGTCTGGGACCGCGACCAGACCCAAAGGAAGTTATAAAAGCCCAGGACAATGTCAGCCAGTTGCTTCCTTTTTTCCTTCCCATTATGTAGCTTCTGGCTTTTGAGCTTTTGGTTTTTTTGCCAGGGCTTTAACTGTTTCCCCGCTGTGTTTCAGGCCAGCCTGCGTACACCCGAGCTCACCTGGGAGAGGGTGAGGTCCCAGGTGGACCATGTCATCTGGCCAGACGGGAAGAGAATAGTCCTTCTGGCGGAGGTGAGTTGCAGGTGAAGGAGGAGAAATGTCTCCTCTGCTCATGGAGGAGGAAAACAAAGGCTTGGATGAGCGGTGGGAGCCAAAATGTGTCCAGAAATGGACCTCAACAGCTCAACGGTTGAAAGGTTTGGTGTAACCCTGTTTTGGGTTACTGGAACTGTCTAAGAAACGTATAGACATGGCTCTTCAGGGCATGCTCTAGTGCCCAAGGTTATTGGTTTATGGCGAGGTGTTGAGTGTGGGGTTTAGTTGGTGGGTGCGGTGTTTTTGGTGGGCGTTTGGTGTGGTGTGGTTTGTATTTGTTTGGTTGGGTGGGGTTTTTTTTGTTTTGTTTTTGTTTTTTTTTTTGTTTTTTGTGGTTGGACTCGATGATCTCAGAAGTCCCTTCCAACCACTAAGATTCTGTGATTCTGTGATTCTGTGAACGTTGAAAAGCTGCCATGTTTTTCTTTATCCCACTCCAGGTTATCTCCCATTGGGTATTTTGTCAAATTTTTCCCTTCTAAATAGTTTTACTGAGTGACAAGGGCTACCAATATCTTGGGATTCGAGTTCACATGACAGATGGTGTCTCATCCCAGAAGAGAGGCGTTTCACCAGTGGTTCTTGTACCCTCTGCAGGGTTTTGGGCCAGTTCTGGTGCCACGTTGAGGTAACAACCCCTGTTTTTTCTCCTTCCCAGGGCCGCCTGCTGAACCTGAGCTGCTCCACCGTCCCCACCTTCGTCCTGTCCATCACCGCCACCACGCAGGCGAGTAGGGTTTGGGCTGAGCCGAAAGCAGCGTCTCGCTCCGTAGCGGGCAGCAGTTTCTTACCTAAGTGTCTTCTCCACCCAGGCTTTGGCTTTGATAGAGCTCTACAACGCTCCCGAGGGCCGCTACAAGCAGGACGTGTACTTGCTGCCCAAGAAAATGGGTAAAGATGGGACTTATCGCCGTCTTTTTTGAGGTGGGACAGATGGGTGGTTTTGCTGGGGAGGGGACAGCAGCCTCCTGGGCTCTGCCAAGCCTCTCTGCCAAGCTCGGGGTCTCCCAGCAAGTTCTTCCTGCTGGATCAGGGCTCTTCCTGCTGGATCTGGCTGAGGGAACTGGGGTTATTCAGCCTGGAGAAGAGGAGGCTGAGGGGAGACCTTATTGCTCTCTCCAACTCCCTGAAAGGAGGGTGTAGAGAGATGGGGGTCGGTCTCTTTTCTCAAGTCACAGGCGACAGGACAAGAGGAAATGGCCTCAAGTTGTGCCAGGGGAGGTTCAGGCTGGATATTAGGACAAATTTTTTCACTGAAAGGGTTCTCAGCCATTGGAATGGGCTGCCCAGGGAGGAGGTTGAGGCCCCATCCCTGGAGGTGTTCAAAAGCCGGGTTGATGTAGTGCTGGGAGGTCTGGTTTAGTGATGATGCTCCTTGTTTGTTGTGTGGGTGTCTATTTTTGTCAGTCAGGTTGACGGTTGGACAAGATGATCTTTAAGGTCCCTTCCAACCTAGAAGATTCTGTGATTAAATTGGAGGCATCGTTTCCCCATCACAGCTGGGGAAAACAAGGCCAACGGGCTTGGCCGACCGCAGGAGTCCATCTGTGCTGATGCAGGGGATTTTCAGGCAGGGCTTCTGCCAACAGAGCTGCCCTCGTTGGCTGTGAAGACACGTCGTTGGCTGTGAAGACCTACAGACCTACAGCTCTGCCAGCAGAACCCCTTCCTGAGGGCACAAGCTGTACTGACCACGCTTTTGCTGCAGAACTGGTCTCTTTTTTTTTTTGGTGTTAATTGTGGTTTTTGAGACCAGGCGCAAGGTTGTTCCTAGCTTGGGTGTTAGATGATGGTTAGACTCGATGATCCCAAGGGTCTTTTCCGACCTAAATGATTCTATGATTCTGTGTCACCTACTAGAAATGTCCACTCGATGATCCCAAGGGTCTTTTCTGACCTAAATCATTCTATGATTCTATGTCACCTACTAGAAATGTCCGTGATGCTCCTGCATCTGTGGAGCACCCAAGCTTCCCCAGGAGTGTGGTGTGACGCGGCAGCAGACCCAGGAGTCCTGCTAGAAGGCTATTTCAGAGAAAGGTTTTCTCTTGTAACTCAAAATAGATGAGAGCCACGGTTTTTCCCCAATTTAGGGTGAAAAGGTGAAAAGCAGCCCTGCAATTCAGCAGCGAAGGCATGAGGAGCGATGATGCCTTTCCCAGCTTGGGCTTTAGGGACCTGGTGCAGAGCAGGAGGGGACTCGTTACCTTTCCTTTGCCCCACTAATGAGGCTTGAAATCATTTCAGATGAGTACGTGGCGAGCCTTCACCTCCCAACCTTCGATGCCCACCTGACAGAACTAACGGATGAACAAGCAAAATACTTGGGACTGAACAAGAACGGACCTTTCAAACCAAACTACTACAGGTGCTGCTCCTCAGACCTCTCTCTTTCTTCTGCCACCAGTGGGGAGGGGGACAGAAGGGATGGGGTTTGATCCTACCAGCCCCCTGAGATCTCACAGGCTTTCTGATAGCTCCCATCGCTACGTAGAAGGTCCGGGGAAGCCGGGGATGGTGTGGCTTGGGGCTGTGACCTAAAAGGGCTTGGCAGGACACGAGCCCTTTGTATCTGGCAGCAGCTGTCACCCAGACAAGTGGTGCCACCCGGCCAGGCTCAGATGACAGCTTTATTTTTAAAGCTTGACGAAGGGTGAGATGGCGCAGAGCAGGGGGGGGGCTGCTCTCCCCAAAATCATCATTTTTAACACGAGCCCCTGGATCTCTCCCCTTTCCAGGCTTTTTGTGTTTGTAGCCAACGCTGAAACGCAGTTTTTTTAACCATGAAAATGAAGTGGCTTCGCACACACACAGATCAGCTTGTGAGGGGTCGAGCCCTGATCCTTTTCTTGCAGGAAAAGGCATTTTTTTGGCAAATCTTCAGCACTCTCGCAAGAGCATCTCTGCACCAAAACGCTCCAGTTTGGGGGTTTAGTGGGTTTTGCCAGATCTGAGCTTTTTTTTACCCTTCAAAATTATGGTGTTGCCATGAGGCCATGCCCCCCTGGGGAGGAGTTTCTTCTGGTTCCACTTTCTTTGCCTGGTTTTGGTGTCTGGCTGTTGTCCCGACCTCGCGGGGAGCGTGGCTTGTCCCACGCACGGAGGAGTTGGGATCATCAGAGGGTCACATCCCCTCCACCGCGGGGTGGAGATGCACCCGGGCAGCTTCAGCTCGGGGTCCTGCAGGAATTTAAACCTCCTCGTCCAAAAGGCAAAGAGTCTTTCCCAAAATTCCCTATTTTGACGTGTAGGAGCACAGGACGGGAGGGGAGAGGAGATCTCCAGGTGGACGTAGCCTCTTTTTCTGGATGTTATGGGCAATTAGGCTTCCTCCCCATGCAGCTCAGCAGCTTGCTGTTTGTGATATGAAGTATCTGCCCTTAGTTCCAGCCTTACAGAAGCCTCCCCGATAAATTCAGCCGCTTTGAGCCAGGCTTTGGCATCCGAGGCATTTGCTCTTGCACCTTTGGTGCATCCTCCCCGTTTTCTGAGCTGATTTTGCCACAAACGGTTGGAAAACGGTCCCGGAGTCGCATCGGGCACCGTTGGGTTTTCCCCTTCCCGAAAGGCAGTGAGGGCAGGAGGCTAAATATAACGTGGTATTTGTGGGGGAGGAGATGAGGACCGAGGACCTTCATAAATCATTTCTTTTCTCGGTGCCCACCCCTCCCGAAAAACACCGTGGTTGAGGCGGGGGGAGCTTCGTGTCTGCTCCAGGAGCTCACCAAAACCTCCTTTTTTTTTCTCTTCTTTTCCCCAGATATTAAGTTCCTGCCGCTGTATCCCGGGAAATCGCGAGGAACAAGAACCCGAGTCTTTTTCTCAACTACTGTACAGGATGAAAACAGCGCAAGCTTCCTAAGTTAGAGCTGGGCTTGCTCACATCGTAGACAGTGTGTTTAGGTTATTTATTTATTAAATTAGAATACTGTACATGCGGCCTCTGCCACTGGTGTTCGTGCTGCCGCGGGACTGGGAGACGGTGGATTTCTTTCCGTTTGTTTCCGTTTTTCTCTCTTTGGGTTTGTTCTTTTTTTTTTTTCGGGGCTGGGAGGACCTGGGGGAGGTGAGGAAGAAGCTGGGCGGAAGGGAACGGCTGCGACGGACTCGGAACAGCCCCTCATCAAGCCTTCATCCCACGCGCACGATGGGGTCCCACCTGGAGGTCGCACGTTGGTTTTTGGTTTCCTTCGCATCCCAACGCTTCTTCCAGTGGAGCAGGAGGATCCCAGTGGCCGTGGGGTTGCGTTCCTCATGTCGTTTGACAACGCAGCTAAAAACCTCCTTTGCTCCAGATGCTGCCCACCAGCCTCGGCGGCGAAGCGGTAAATCTGGCCGGCCATCGCTGGAGAAACCTCTTGGAATCCCACCCAACTGCCCCAGAGTTGGTGAACTTGGCCTTAGCACCACTGTGGAAGCTGTAACGAAGGGTCCGGTCGTTAGCATCAGTGCCCAGGGATAAGCCCCTGGTAGGAGCTGGGAGGGCAGAGTGGTGCCCGCTCGGAGGTAGACAATGGTGGAGGTTGTTGTGGGGACCCACCACTGCTCCCTTCATCACAGCTCCGCGGTATTTTCCTGCTGCTCACGTTACGAGTGCCAACCTCCTACGGTTCAACCAAAGTCATTTTCCTGGTGGGGCTCCGGGGCAGCCTTTCCTGCCCATGCCGGTGGAAGAACCTCGTGGCCTCACCAACAACTGCTGCTCACGTGTCCGGGAGCTCTTCCAAACCCCAGAGGAGCTCATCGGCCATCCCGGCTGGGAGGACCTTTGTCCACGCGAGGTCTTTCTCCAGCTGAATTTCAGTCCTCATTGGAAATCTTTGGAGTTTTATTTTCTAGTAATATTTGTACGATGAAATCTGGAAGTCCCCTTTGAGTGTATGAGACCTACGCCGGAGTAATCCCCACCCCAACTGTGTGCGCGGGGAGGAGTTTAGAATCACCAAAACCCTTCAATCGCCTCAAAATCTTGACGCGTCAGAGCCGATGGAGAATGGATCTGCCACGGTTCCTTGTTTTAGCCCAGGATGTCCCACCTGAACGCTGCAGACAGCATGACACACTTCCTGAGGTGACTTTCCAAGTCTCCCTGTCTCATCGGAATCACTTTTATGGTCAACATGGTGAATCCTGTAGAAGAATCCTTCTGAAATAAAATTGCCCGACCCCGTGAGCACAAAAGCCTGTATCCTGTGGTTGCTGCTTTGGTGCCCGAGTCCCTCATCAGCTACAGATTCATGTTTTGTCCTCGTGGGCTTCTTTGCCATCATGAAAAAACTCTTTTGTGGCAGCTCGTTCACGCACAAGAAAGGAAAAACTGTGGAATTATGGTCTCGGCGGCCAAGTCCTCCTCACGGCTCTTGATGGCGAGGTGTGAGGTCAGCTCGACCACAAGCTGCTCATCTTTGGAGCAAAGATTCTTGTAGGTTTGCTCATTCCAAGTTTCTCTTTGAAATTTCTCAAAGCCTACAAGTAAGACCTTGAGAAGAAGGCCTTGAGGAGATCTTGGGGCTTTGAGAAGACTTTGAGAAGACCTTAGGGCTTTGGGGAGACTTTGACAAGACCTTAGGCTTTGAGGAGGCCTTAGGGGCTTTGAGAAGGCTTTGATGAGGCCTTAGGCTTTGAGAAGGCTTTCAGGAGACCTCAGGGCTTTGAGGAGACTTTTACAAGACCTTAGGGCTTTGAGAAGGCTTTGATGAGACCTTAGGCTTTGAGAAGACTTTGACGAGACCTTAGGGCTTTGAGGAGACTTTGAGGAAACCTTAGAACTTTGAGAAGGCTTCATCATGGGCTGATGACGAACCACAAACTTGAAATTATCTCTGCTGGCTCATGAATTTTATCCAGATCCTGAGATTTTTGGGAAGAGCCCCCTGAGCTATTTGGAACGTCAACGGTCGGGCCTTTCCCTGCGCTGGAGTCCCTTCTTCTGCATCAAGAAACTTGAAATTATCTCTGCTGGCTCATGAATTTTATCCAGATCCTGAGATTTTTGGGAAGAGCCCCCTGAGCTATTTGGAACGTCACGTTTGGGCCTTTCCCCGCACTGGAGTCCCTTCATCTGCATCAACCAGCAAACCCCAGAGTTCCTGTTGTTCTCAGCAGATGCACAGGGTGAAGTCCTGCTCTCACTCGAGGTGACACGCGGTTGTGGGGTCTACGTTGGAAAAAAGCAGCTTTTTGGAAAACAGGGGTCCCAATCGCAGCCGCTTCTGCCCCCCAAGGAAAACCCCTCTCCATCCACGTGACTTTTGGGTGTCCATCACCCACGCAGCGTCCGGGTGCTGTCCCCATCCCGGAATTCCTTCCTCCCCGTTTTTAAGCCCGATTTTATCTTCCAGGTTAGATAGGAAAAAAAAAAAAAAAAAGAAATAATTAATAATAAACTCCCGACCGGCTTTTCCCACCTCGATTTTGAAAGCTCTTCTCCAGTGTCTTTCTGCTTCTTCTGTAAGCTTTTTTGCTTGCTTGGCTTTTTTCCTAATCAATCTGGAATCATATTCTGTGATCATCTCTAAATTAAACGTGTAATGGGTTGTTTTGGTTTGGTTTTTGGGTTTTTTTGGTTTGGTTTTTTGTTTTTTTTTTTTTTTTAATGTAACACATTTTTAAAGAATTAGGAAAAAGGAGATTTTAGGTAACACCAGCAAAATTGTATAAGGAAATTAATTCTGTTCTGAACTTTAGAAATAATAAAGACGAAACCTGTCATCAGCCTGCAGTGAGGAAATGAAAACTTTGCAAACATAACATTTTTCGAAAGGATGTTTTAAATATTAATGTCTGAGTGATTGTATTAGATCAGCAATAAAGACTCTGTAATCTCAAAACACAAATAAAACATTGGAAAACTCAGCTTCTCCCGAGCGTTTTTTTTTTTGGGGTCCGGCAGGAGCAGAAGGGGAATTTTTTGGGGGTGCAACGAGGGATGGGGATGGGGATGTTGTCCCCAGTCCCAGCTGGGGAATTGCTCCGGTGTCTGCATGTCCTTGGGGCCCGGGGGGGGCTGTTTGGGCTCCGGGGGGGGCTGTTTGGTCTCCGGGGGGGTGTTTTGGCTCTTGTC